CCCAGGCTCTGCCAGAAGGGGATTAGAAGAGCCAGTGCCTCCCCAGAATGGGAAATCACTCAGGGAAGGGAATCTTTTTCTTTTTTAAAAAGTAAATCTTTTTTCTTTCTGGGTTTTATCTACTATCAGATCTGTCATTGCCCTAGAAAGAACTTCAGTATGTCAGAAAAGCATACCTCAAGCAGCTGTAATGAGTATCAAATTGATATTTATAAAGTTAACTTTCTCTCACCCAGTAACTGATTGTATAGTTTGTGAATGTCATTCATCTTAGAATTATGTAGTGTTAGAACTAGGAAGGTTTTTCCTTAAAGATGACATAGATCAACCACACCTTTTATTTTTTTTTCACTGATAAATCTGAGACTTGAAGTCTCAGTCCTGAAAAAGTAGAAGTCCTAAGGTCTAAGGTCTCCAACACACCCAGGTAAAGACAGAAACCATATTGAAAGCCAAAACTTCTTATGACTGGATTCCACTGTGTCCCTTGGCCTTTTTTTCTTAGCAAGTCTGTCTAAAAAGTTTTATTTGGCAACTCTAGAGATTGGAAGGGAATGGGTTTTGAGTTTACTGACTTTTCTTATTTTCCTTCCAATCTCTGGAGTTGCCAATAAAACTACTATATAATACTGCTGTCTAAAGATGAGGCTTGGCTGTTTATATTATCTCTAGCCCTTATTAGACCTCAAATTAGCAGTATGGTTGGCTTACATACCAGATATTTTCACTACCAGTCATTTGAACCAGGTGGACTGACAATTCTTCATTATTCTTTAATTTCTCTTCATCCTCACTGCTGATTCTGTGTTGGTCTGGGGCTAACTTTTCTTTCGTGAAGTAAGGCTTAATTTAGAATTCTGTATCTATAATTTTGTTGATTATTTTGGCTTCCAATGTGGTTTCTGCTCTTTACTTTGGGTGTGTTGGAGACCCTCTGTGGATTATCTGAAGAATAGCTTCCCTTTACTTACTGGGTCATCTTAGGTGACTTATTGAAATTCTTTAAGCCACCATTGTTCCAACTGAAAAATAGATATTACAATTTAACCATTGCCATAGTGTCTTTGAATTGAAAAAGTTTTTTTATAACATTATTGTATTTTCTATACCTTCATTTTATTTATTTTTATGTGGTGCTGAGGATTGAACCCAGTGCCTCACACATGTTAGGCAAGTACTCTACCACTGAGCCCCAACTGCAGCCCCAGCATTGAATAAGTTTTTAAAACTACATAGAAAATACTTAGTAGACTAGTTGGTATTACAATCATCATTCTTGAAGAATGAGAGAACAAAGAAGCTAACAATATAAATGGTATGTTTAGAACCTTAGAATGGAATGCCAATTTAACCTGCAGTTCTGGCTTCTTTGGCAGTAAATACAAAAATAATAAAAAAAAAGATCAGCAAAAATAATAAAAAATATCATAATAAGAATTGACACTGATTGGACTTTACTGGTACAAAGTGCTTAGTGTTGTTTATTATTAGAATCTTCCCATTCTTTTGGACCATTGTATCTCATGATTTCTAGTGCACAAGTGCAAGCACACTAAATTCAGGGAACTTATCCTATTATTAACAACACAGATTTTATGAGTACTTATTGAATGTGTATTGAGTGAATACTAGAATCTAAACAGACAAACAGATTATACACTGATTCACATGACAGATTCAAACCCTATTAACGGTCAGGACTATTTCCTTTGCGTCATTTTCCCTTTTTTTTTTCTGAAAGTCTCTTACTCAATTTAATAATAAGCTTGTGTGAATTGTGGTTGTACATTTTGTGGATTATCTAAAGCATAGCTTTGATCTCTGACTTGCTTTTTCCCCTATGAATATATCTGGTATATATTCACAGTTTAGAATGTCTACTAATGTTTCTGCTGTCCTGATCAGGGCTCCTTTAGGAAAGTAAATCAGGGCATTCTAAAACCGTGTACAGGCAAATGTTTAGGTAGTAAATGCAGCATGTATGACTACAACTATATAGAGATGCAAGAGTGAATTGTATGCTTGATATGTATTCATGAGAACCAAAGATCAGAACTCAATCGTTTGAGAAATCATAGAAAGGAGTCTCAACTCTCACTTCCCATTCTTATCTTCTCCTCACCTTTTATCCCACTGAAGAATACCACAGACTCCCCTTGCCCAATGAGAAGCTTCAGCCAATAGCCCCTGTCTGTCTGCTTTGTCACTCTGCATCACCCTGCCACACAGAAGCAAGAATGACACACATCCTACCCACCACTCCATTGGAAATTCAAGGCAGCTGCATCTCACAGCAGCTCTGATGCTGAGAGTTAAGAAACCTTCCCTCTTAAATTTCAGTAAGGTTCTCATTTTCCAAGACTCCCTTCTATTGTATGATGGTACAGAGGTGAACATGATGTGCACTTCAGAGTATGGCCCCAAGGGTCATAGCAGTAGATCTGCAGAGTTGGCAGATCACTCCCCACTCAGCAGGGCATGGTCACCTTAGAGAATGGATGGAAAATATCCTCTTGCTATAATTGGGTTCAGCCCTGTGGCTTTACACCATCTTATTTGGCAATCTTTTTACTCTTGACATATTTAGTAATCACTCTAAGGGAGATTTATTACACTGCTCATGGGAACAAACAATGCACTAAATATTACACATATGCATGCTTTCAATACCACTCCTTTTCTAGTCTACTATGAATCTTTCCCCAAAGTCTTTCTTCTAATGCTAATCAAAACTCCCTCATATTTAAATTTAAATTCTTCTTCATTCTTCCTTCTTCCAAAATAACCATGTACATCTTGAAAATTTTTGTAATTAGCCTTTTTTCCCAGTACTGTGGATCAAATCCAGGGTCTTGTTCTCTACCCTATGTATGTACATATCTATCTATCTATCCATCCATCTAGATAGATATATAGATAGATATGTACATACATACACACATACATATCCATCCTCAATCCCAGGAACTTTTCAATCAAAATTTGTTGGGACATGCTTGAAGAAGAATAGATGAAAACACATTTTTTTTTCAGTCCAAAACCACCGAAAGACATATTGCTGACCATTAATCTCCCAAACACAAAACCAGAAATTTACCATATAATTAGGGTTGTGAAAATAGCCTCTTAGGTATCTCTGGGAAGTGGGGGGGGTAGACAGAGATAGACATATCAAAATATTTCAGCTAAATATAATTCAATAAAGTATTTTCTAAACCTCAAATTTGGCACTCTTACAGAGATATGGGGGAAAGGGACAGTGAGAATTTGGATTAACAGCTCATTGCCTGTGCTAACTAAAGGACTTTGACAGCTGGTGCCCCTCAGACATTTTCAAAAAAGCATAATATCCCACTCACCCAGACATATGCACAGCAAAATATCTTAACAAATTAGTCAATCTAAAACATATTTGAGAGAAAATATATCCAAGTCATGGAGACACTAAGGGGAAAGTCTACTCAGTGCTAGGCACAGTCCTAGATGTACTCATTTACTTAACACTCAACTACATATCTGCCACTGACCTAATTTTGCAGACTGGCCCACATTTTACACAGAAAAGGCAAAGCTACCATAAGAATGACTAGCTGGCTGGTCAAAACAGCTAAATTGGGGACCCAAGTAGGTAGCTACAGCTGAAACAGTTACATGATGACATTTTAAAAGACAGCAGTTAACCCTACCACCTCTATCTTCAGGGTTTTCTCAAGCCCCAATTTTCTCAACTGTAAAATTAATTGTTGAGAGAATTTAAAGTATATAGCCCTAACACATGGTAGTTCATTTAAGTCACTTACTCCCCCTCCACCACCACACACATATTTTCTCATCTTTCAGTTAGATTACACATATTCCTACATATCTGAACTTTTAGGGGCAATACATTAAAAGCACAAATGCAGGAATTAATGGTGGCAAGAACCCTTATTCAGCTGCTGGCATTGCTAACCTAGAAGTATGTGCTAAGGGGCTAGAAAAGCCCAGATTCTGGAGCCAGACTGCCTGATTTAGCCTAGCCCTGCCTCTTATTACATGTGTGACCTTAGCAAGTGACTTGGCTTCTCTTTGTCTCAATCTCCTCATCTGAAACATGAGGCTAGTATTCACACTACATTATAGTTATCTATAAGAATCAAGTAAGCTAATCTGCATAAAGACCTAGCACTGCAGTAGGGGCTATTCAATTAATGTTTGTATTCACATATGTATTTTGATGGTAGACATATACATTAACTGGGCATAGTAAATTTGACAGGAGGCAATGGGTAGAGTAAATCCCACTGGGCTCTTTTAGTATGTTTCCCATGATCCCAGCCAGCCTCTTTCAATTTTGTATCCTTTCCCATATATGCAGACAAGGAGTACCAAAGAATACAAGGGCTCTCAAGGTGTAATTCTTATCTATTATGGTATAGAGTGATTAGATGAGGAGATTATTTAGTTCCTCAGCAGTGGCTTGGACTGCAGAGGAACTCTGCATTCAGAATTGTACCTTATTTTCTTTTTAAATCATGTTTTCCAGAGGAAGACAGAACAGGGGACCTATAATATTGTCAAACATTATAGACCAACTGGGTCACAAATAATAACATGTGGAAATAATGCTGGTGCTTTGATGCAACACTTGTTGAACTTTAGCTGCATCAGAACCCCTGGAGGCCTTGTGAAAACCCAATTCCTAGGATCTACCCTAAGAGATTCTGATTTGCTAGGTCTGGAATAGGGCCTGAGAATCTTCATTTCTGATAAGCTCTAAGGTTATGTTGATGCTGCTGGTCCAGGGGCCACACTGTGAAAACCACTGGTCAAACATGTGTTTTGCATTTCTCATTTCAGATCTAAGGTTTCAAAATTTCATTTGAACATTTTGGCTTACAGATGGAATACATGATCCCCTCCTTCAAAAACACAAGGGAAATATTTGAACTCAGAGTAATGTTACTTCTTAATGTCTAATTTTATGTAATAAATACTGATTATTATTTTTTTCCCCATAGTTGCATGCTGCTGTGACCAAGATCCAGGTTCCAAGGCCTGGTTTTAATTACACGTTTGCCCACATATGTATCCTGAATAACGATAAGACTTGCATCGTGGATGACATAGTACACGTCCTGGAAGAGTTAAAGAATGCTCGGGCTACAAATCGGACCAATTTTGCTATCACATACCCGATCACCCACTTAAAGGACGGTAGGGCCGTATACAATGGGCACCAGCTTGGGGGCGTCACTGTGCACAGCAAGGATCGGGTGAAATCTGCAGAGGCTATTCAGCTCACCTACTACCTGCAGTCAATCAACAGTCTCAATGACATGGTGGCTGAGAGGTGGGAGTCCAGCTTCTGCGACACTGTGAAACTGTTCCAGAAATACAACAGTAAAGTCAAAATGTACCCTTACACATCCTCGTCACTGAGGGAAGATTTCCAGAAGACCAGCCGTGTGTCAGAACGTTACCTGGTCACCAGCCTGATCCTGGTAGTCACTATGGCCATCCTCTGCTGCTCTATGCAGGACTGCGTCCGCAGCAAACCCTGGCTAGGCCTGCTTGGGTTGGTAACCATAAGCCTAGCCACTCTCACTGCAGCTGGGATCATCAATCTTACTGGTGGGAAATACAATTCCACCTTCCTGGGAGTCCCTTTCGTCATGCTAGGTAATTACTGCCCTTCATTTTTCTTTTTTCTCCTGTTGATGGTGTTAACTGGGTCCCTAAAAGGTCAAGAATAGCCATATAACAATTTTGTTTCATTTATTGCATCTTCATTGTGCTCAGAAGTCCTAGGATCCATTCTAAAAGGTGCTAGTCATCAGCAAGAAGCAACCCAATCTGATACATGTGCCAGAAACAGAAAGACTTGGGTTCTAGCCCTGATCTTCCATTAAATAGCCATGTGTATTTAGCAGACATTAATCTTCTCTGTGCCCCAGTGTTTTAAGTTGGGTTTCCTCAGAAGCAGACCCTGAGACAAGGATTCAGATACAAGGCATTTATTTGGGAAGAAAGCCCAGGAAGCACCAGTATGGCAGTGACAAAGTGAGACAGGAAGGCAGACAGCTCAGATTGATGATTAGGTTACTGTTCTAGGCATCTGTGGCTCAGTCCTGCTGGAGACCTTTGGGAGAAATGAAAGAACACACCTCAAGACAGGTCCTCCCCTGAGGGATGAGGAAGCTGTAATATATATTTTTTTTAAGAGAGAGAGAGAGAGAATTTTTTTAATATTTATTTTTTAGTTTTTGGCGGACACAACATCTTTGTTTGAATGTGGTGTTGAGGACTGAATCTGGGCCACCATGCATGCCAGTCGAGCGCGCTACCACTGGAGCCACATCCCCAGCCCAGGAAGCTGTAATATTTATCCAGAAACCCTGTGTGTGATTGATTCATTGAGGGATACTATTCAGGGTAGTTAAGTCCTCAGCACTTCCCCCAGAAAAAGTAAGCACACTCCTGCAGCCAAAGAAAGCCCTCAGGTAACTCTGTAGCAAGAAGTTTTCATTAAGTGCAAGAATGGTGAATGGGAGGACACATGGATTAGGCACTGATAATGTATTCAACCCACAGTTTCCCCACCTTATGGATAGGGTGGATGTGAGCAGCAAACAGAGGACAGCAACATGTGACATCAATAGGAAGTTTTCTTCTCCCTGCTTTTACTACAAACTCAAAGAGAATATTTTAAAAGTGATGGTGATGGTGTGTTTTCAGTATGTTCACTCTAGGGGACCTCAGGAATTCCCTGAAAGAGATAATGGTCAAAACAAAGTCACTGTGGTCATAACATCAGTTGCTTTGTCCATTCAGTAAAAGAGATGAAACGTCCACTCAGCCTGATAGCAGAGCTCCTTACAGGCCAAGGATTCAAGCAGTTAGCATTCTCCCTTTTTTGCGTCAACTTCTCATCAATTCCTTTAGCAAAATTAAAATGTCATTTGGAATTAGATACTAACATTACGAATGAAGTGGCATTTTTTGTTGACTAGGAAATAACCATGATGGAGTTCATTAGTATGCCTTCTGTGCTATTTTGGAGTAGTAGAAAAACAAAGAATTTTCTCAGGAAATCTCAACTGCTTTATGGTTAAGTGATAAACAGGGCTGGTGGAGCTGCAAGGCCACAAAATTACATTCTGCCCTCTATGCTCTGTGGCCTGAGGGAATTAAGACCTCGTCAATAAACCATATACAAGTAGCTTTTGTGGAAAGTGGGGCACTGTGTGAAGACTAAGTAGTCTGAGAATTTGCTAGAGCAGTTTACTTGTCACTGCCAAAAACAACAGAGAACAGGATTGCAGTACTTCTTCCTGAGTTCAGTCTGTTAAGAGGGCAGTATAACTTGCTTCTTTAAAATAATCCCAAGACTATGTGGGTCGATTCTGGAATATAAGGAGGTGCCTTGAAGAGTGAGTAGGACTGAGTATTAGTAGCTTCCACAGAGACTTGAGTCAAGGTTTAAATTAAGATGTTTTGCTCATGATTAGTCACATGCTTAAGTGGTTGGGGGGTGGGTGGAAGGATTTTAGCTATTCATTTTAAAAATAGTGTTTTTTGTTGTTGCTTTTGCAGGAGGAAGATAAACAGGAATAAGAAAAGGGTGGGGGACTGAAGGGAGATAGTAAGGATCTTAAGGTGAGGGGAAAAGAATGTCAGAGCTAGAAAAAGGACTATTGCTGCTGGCTTTATGACACTCTAGGTTGTTACCAGTGAGCTTAAAGCACATTACAATATTTAAAGCTTCTTAAAAATTAATTGTACTAAGTAAAATAAAAGTATGATTAAAATTTCTTAGAATTAATTTTAAATAAAATAGCTGTATTCCAAATTCTTAAAATGAATTTTGTTATATAAAATAAATTGCAGTATTTAATCCTTCTTAAAACTTATCTTTGTACTTTTTGAAGTAGTTTGAAATATTTTAAGTAAAAACCAACACAAAAAAATAATATGAGGGGCTGGGGTTGTGGCTCTGTGGTGAAGCACTTGCCTAGCATGTGTGAGGCATTGGGTTCAATTCTCAGTACCACATATAAAGAAATAAAGTAAAGATCCATTGACAACTAAAAAAAATTAATTTTTTTAAAAAATAATATGCAACATGTGAGACATCAGTGGGACTGCTGGGGCTGCAAGGCCACAGATTTTTTTTTCCTATTCCTGTTATGAACTCAGGGGAAGGTTATAATGTGGTGGTGATGGTGTATTCACTCTGAGGGGCTATAGGAAATCCCTGAAACAGAAAATGGTCAAAACAAAGCCACAGTGATCATAGCATCAGTTGCTCTCTCTGGTAGTACTGGATCTGGAAAGGAGGTAAGAGATGGTGGAATAGAATGATGCTATAAGCACAGAAGTGTCTTTTAAAAACAAGTCCAGAAATAGTACATAGCTCCACAATTCAACAGAGACCAAGTATCATTGAACTTTACATCAGAGTTCAATTCAGAAGAATCAGGTATTTTTAGTGAAAGAGAACAAGCACTGCAGGTGCCTAATATTCCCTTGTTTGCAATTTGTGAGGAATGTTACATGCATTGATTGTGATGGCAGTTTTCCCTGCTGACAATCAGTGTGCAACCTTTCTGTACATTTTCAGCCCAAAGAGTTCTCAAATTACTCAGTCACAACATAAAAGGAAGCTATGCATTTTAGTAGCTAAGGCCCATTTGCAATAAATACTTTGTGTGATATAATGAGTGCTGAATATGTTCATAAAGCTAACAGTGCCTGTATTTAGGACAGTTGCCTTTCTGGATTTCTCAGATAAACTCTTCATTCTTAGAGTATGAGTGTAAAATGAAGTATAAGTGAGAGCAGATTCATAAATGTTGTATTCAAGGCCAATGTTTAGTTGTGCTTTTTTTGATGATGATCTGTCCTAAAATACCAATAAATAATTCAAATGACCAAGAATTAATGCAGTGGTAAGGGTTTTATACAAGTCAATTAACTGTCCCATATTTAAATTTGCCTGCCCATAACATCATAAGTGCTATGCTTAATCTAAGCAGATTTAAGCAAAATTTCTTGATTTTTAGTACTTTTTATAAATAAAATATCAAATCAAATTTATTATAATCTCATTTAGGGGGAAAACTATTTTAGAAAAAGTCTCAAATGCAGACATTTTCCTGGCTGTCAATAGGTCTATAATAGATAAACATTATAGACTTAAAATTCAACAAACATTCTCAGTGTGATGCCGGTCACATAAGGCCAGATCCAGCCACATGCCAAAATGGCAGTAGATTTAGAATGGAAAATTTTAAGACCACGTGTGTTATGCAGTATTAAGCTGACAAAATTCCAGAAGAAGAAAGAATTTGGATAAACTCTGAGAGTTCACCATAATGGGATATGATTGTGTGTTTCTAGCCAAGATGATACGTGACATCTCTGGCAATAAGAATATATCCTACACAGATGAATCATTTTGGCAATGATGTAAGCATAGATACATCATGATTTAGAATGTTTTTAATCAGTGTCATGCATATTAGACGATCCCACTTCTGCCAAAACCTCTGTCCAGATGAGTCACATCAGTTTATTTAGAGCTGAAATCCTAAAAGGTCTATAGTATTATAATGCTCATTGATAGTTACTGTAATTTGGAGAAGAGTTTATTTGGTCTATATTCAATATCATGCATAAAATAACATTCCTTTTTTCCAAACTATATTGATATCAGGTAGTGAGGTATTTAGCATTTGTAAATATATCACACATCATTTTAATTCATTATCAAATTTCCTTTAAATGATGAGAATTCACACCATTATTCTCCAGTTGAGTATGATTTGAGAAATTGGCATAAGTTTTGTATGTGCAAGCTCTCCTTATAGGCATACTATTTCCATAGCTTTGCTGATCAGACACAAATCAGGAAAGGAATGGAATGTTAGAGAATATAGAAGAAACAGAAGGAAGATTTTTCTTCCTTGTGCATATGGAAAGTTTGTTGCTTCATGTACATTCTGTGCTGCTAAAAGGAGAGAACTGAAGTTATGGTGAAAGATAGTTTAGGTATTAGTTCCTAAGTGGTAATCTATTTGTAAGGGTCACTTTGCCTTTATTGAGATACAAGACCCTGGAGATCAGATAGAATAAAAAATACTCCTCAAGCCCCATTTCAAATGTTTAGAAATTTCGAAGAACACAAATATCCAGGGGTGCCCTCTTCCTTCTTAATTATCTAACCAGTCCATACAGATTCAAGGATGTGAAAGGAAGAAAATGTGGATTAAGTGCTAGGAGAAGAATAATAGCAGGGAAATTTGACTTCTTCCAGCTATTATACCAAGATTATCTGTATTTTTAGCAGAAATCAAGTTAGATTCAGTTCTTTAAGGCTTTGTTCTCATATTATGCCACTTGAAATATGATGCAGCATATGGAAGACATAAAAGTGGTTTGAGACTGGGTGTGGTGGTGCATGCCTGTAATCCAGTGATTCAGGAAGCTAAAGCAAGGCAGTATCACAAGTTCGAGGCTGCCCTCAGCAATTTAGTGAGGCCTGGCCTCAAATAAAACACAAAAAAGGATTGGAGAAATAGCTCAGTGGCAAAGCAACCTGGGTTCAATCCCAAATACCAAAAAGGGGGAGGGGTAAAAGTTCTTGTGTAAGAATTTAGGTCCACCTGAAAAACTGTATC